TGAGGGTGACGGAGCCCTGGAACAGGCTGCCCAGAGGGGCTGTGGAGTCTCCTTCTCTGGAGATATTCCAGCCCCGCCTGGCCGCAGTGCTGTGCCCCCTGCTCTGGGTGACCCTGCTTGGGCAGGGGGTTGGGCTGGGTGACCCACAGAGGGCCCTGCCGACCCCGACCATGCTGGGATTCTGTGATTCTGTGACACACAAGCAGCCAGCGGATTTCTCTGCCTAAAATCTTTGCAAGGAGCTGCTTACGCCCTTGCTCCGAGTGGGAGGATAAAGCATGGAGGGCTTGGTGGCACAGTGCTTGTCCCAGGCCATGGATAAACCTCGTCCGTTGGCAGCACCGGGCACTGTTGCGTGGATACAGGCTGAATGCTCTGTGTGTTCCTGCTTTGGATTCTGTGGCAGCTCTTGTGCTATTGAGTCTTTAATTTTTTTTTCCTTTTTTTAAAGCTCCCCCTGTCAGCATGGCTGGCTGAGCTGAGGTTCCCCCTTCCTGCCCGACCCTTTGTTCCCATCTTTTCATGAATAAATTTTGGAATCCAAAGGAAAGCTTGAAAACGTGTTTATCTTTTCTTCATCCTTAATTCTCTCCCTGAAAGCTTAACAGCCAGATCTGCTGGTCAGCTGGCGTTTCTGGCAAGCTCCACGCCTGCTGGCATGGCTACACTGGAAGGGAGCTATCGGACCTTGTGCTGCTGGGTGCTGCGGGCGAGATCTGGGACGTGGCTAAGAACCTGCTTGCAGTTGTTTTTTCTTCTGCCATTTCCAAGTCCGTTTTCTCCCCTGCAGCAGCGCTTGGGCAACGTTGGCCAGGTTCTGTGCCGTCTGGGAGGATGGAAAGAAGCTGGGGGTAAATTGAGCTCCTGGTACTAGTGTGTGCTGCGTCTTAGGGTTCCCTAACTCGGAGCCTCGTTGCTTTACAGGGATCGCTGCGGCTTGCGGGGAGGTTTGCAGCATCCGCAGTCGGGCCTGGGTGCTGCTGGAGCTCGGTGGGACCCTGTGTCCTGGGAGCTGCTGTAGTGCAGAGCCCTGGGTTACGCTGCTGAAGCCCACAAGCGTTTGCTGCTTTGGAGAGGAATGTTAAGAATATTTTTGTTGCGGAGCCCTCTGGATTGATCCCCTTCTTTCTTCTCCCCCAGTTCGTCAAGTTTGCCAACATCGAAGAGGACACGCCGTCGTATCACCGCAGCTACGACTTCCTCGTCTC